TCTTCCTGTTTCAGCCTCACTGAGTGCAGAGATTATGGTCATTCACTACATTATAATTCTACCCAACTGTCATCAGGATATTTAACTTTGATCATCACCTGATTAGGGAGAATACCTTTCAGTACAGCATTATAGATCTGAGAGGTTAATTTGTACAAATATGGTAAGAGGTTATATATTTCTAGACATCTACCAGGTTTGTACCTGAATTACAAACTGAATTGCTACATTCCATCCCCCACAGATCTTTAAGTGATTTTGGAATTAGCTATCATTCTTCGGATTCCCTAAATAATGAGTTAAATAAAACATTGAGATTATTATTGTTTTTATCTCGATGTTCCCCTAAAGCTTTATGCATTTGTAGGTGAGGTTTTGGGGAAGTGATTGGATCATGCTTGCCTGAGTTTATTTTTATATGAATTTGTGTGTGTGTTTGGGGCTGGGGTGGAACCCAGAGCCTTACGCATGCAAGGCAAGAGCTCTCCCACTGAACCACATCCCTAGCTCCAGTTTGTTTTTTATTTTATGAAAAAATAAAATTTCATTACAAAACAATAAGGGAATGACAATAGTTAATACACTGTGTATCATTACCTTCAAAGTTGCTACTCAGAAACAAAAAAGTTTCTCTTACAAATAAGAAACAACAGATAACACTGATGAATTTACAGTGAAATGTGATATTGGGAGATGAAGCCTGGTTGGAGGAGGTGGGTCACTGGGGACCTGGGCTGGGTTTATTCCCTTCCTTCCTCCCTTGATTTTGCCTTGATCTTGCCACCTCCCATCACCTTGCCATGAACTATTTCTCCTCTGCCATGTCCTTCTGTCATGCTATGCTGCCTTGGGACCACCTGACTATGGACTGAAACTTCTACAAACTATAAGCCAAAATAAGCCTCGCCTCCTTTAATTTGCAGGTATCGGGTATTGCGTCTGTCAGTGATGAGAAAGTGAGATGTCACTGACAAACTGTAAAAACTATGTTGAGCCAGGTATGGTGGTGTACTCCTGTAGTTCCAGTGCTATGGTTAGGATGAAAAATGTCCTTCCAAAGGCTTATATGTTCAGAGGTGTGGCTTTTGTAATGTGAGATCACTGATTAGTACATTGATAAGTTCATAGCTGACTGTATAGTTTTTAGGTAGCACCTGGCTAGAAGAGGTAGATCATTGGGTGTCTGACCTGAAAGGGTATATCCTTGTCCCTGACTCCTCTCTTCCATTTCTGCTGCCAGGCTGCCATCTTCTGCTATACTTTTTGGGCATGATGTTTCTGTATTGGAGCCAGCTAACGTTGGATTGAACCCTCTGAAACCATAAGATAAAACTTTTCTCCTTTGAGTAGTATATCAGATATTTTGCCCCCAAAACTGAACAGATGACTAATATACCTAGCTACTCAATAAGCTAAGGCTGGAAGATCAGTTGAGCCTACGAGTTTAAGGCCATGCAGAACAACATAATGAGACACCACTGCTGGGACATAATACCAAACACCCACAATTTAAGGGAGGAGAGTTTTACTTTGGCTCACATTTTAGAAGTTTCAGTTCATATCTGGCAGGTTTAAAAGAAAGGGCATAGTGGGTATGCCTGGGCAGACAAAAGCTGCCCTTATTAAGGCAGCCAGGGAGCAGAGAGAATTGAGATGCTGAGAAGTGAAATAAACCCTTGCAGGTGATGCCCACAGTGATCCATCTCTTCCATCCAGAACCCACTTTCCAGCAGCACACTCAGCTGCTGAACTCACTCTGGATGATTCCACTAATGATTAAAACACCTCATGATCCAATCACCTTCCATTAGCTTTGTCTGTGAGTCAATGAGAATGTTGGGAGTCATTCTTTTTTTTCTATTTCTGAGGATTTATTGTACCAATATTTGGATAGTGACATTTGTACAGTTCTCATTAGATGGATATTCTTGATCTAAACCATAACATATGGCATGTAACAATTTGATACTTGTATCTTCAAATCTTTTCTTACACAAGTTCTTTCTACCACGATTGCTGTAGCACCCCAAGTTTCAAGTCACCAAACCAATCAAAGGCCATATTGTCCCCTCTTGTGCCTGTATTTCTTATATTTATATTTTTGTGCATGCATGTCATTTGTATAACTTTAGCTTGATTACAGGCTTTAGTTCAGTGTTAGTCCCAACCACTCAAAACGATGAATTGAACTTTCTCTTTCATATCTTTTATGAATCTTTGTTTCTTCTGCCTTTGATATTTACTTCAGAGGTTTGGCTTTCTAAGGTTGGGTATAGAAAAAATTACCAAGAATGGAGTAAAGGAAATAAATGAAAATAACTACTATAAAAGTTGTTACTGCAAAGTTATTGCTAGGGACTCCATGTTTTCCCCACCCCGAAATTCTTATTGTGAAGTCCTAATCCCCAATATGATGGTGTGGTACATGAGAGATAATTAGCTTATATAATATAATGAGGGTAGCGGCCCCAGGATAGGATTAGAGCCCTTATAAGAAGGATAGAAGTGTAAATAATAGGGGGAACTGATGAAAGCATAATATATTTTACACAATGAAATTGTCCCTGAAAATATGAACCTCTCAGGAAGGTGAGATGAGGTGGTGATGGGGGAGGGGTAAAACTGATCAAAGTATGTTATGTGTATGTACGATTCTGCCAAAATGAAACACATTAATCTATATAACCAATAAAGAAGAGTGAAAAGAGATGAAGAGACCAGACCTGTCCTTCTCTGCCACGTACATGAAACAACGGGAAGTAACCTTCAAACCAATACTAGTGTCCTCACCAGCCACTGGACTCTCCAATCACCAGAACAATGAAAATAAATATTTGTTATTTAAGCCATCAAGTGTATAATACTTTTAGTTTTTTACAGTGGTGGGGATTGAACCAAAAGCCTCATACATGCTAGGCAAGTGCTGGTCTCCACTGAGCTACACCCCTAGCTCTTTCTATTGCATTTTGACATAGTAGCCTCAGAAGATGATAATGAAACAGAACTTTCCTTTTCCCCTTACAGATATCACTTCTCTCTTTCTATGGAATCTTGCAAAGATGGTCATGACTGATTCTTGCAAACTATAACACTCCCCAAAGTGTTTGTAGCATGATAATAGAATCATTGTAGATCAAGGAACAATTCCTCGGCAGACCCATGCTAATGCATGGAGAAAAATACAACTGCATTTTTGCTTGGAGGGAGGTTGCCAACACTGTTCAAAGGATAGGCAGTAGTTTCCTGGTCATTATTCCTAGCTTCAGAGCAGGCATAGATCTTAGAAAATATGCTAAATCTGCACAGTAAGCTTCTTCCTAGCACTTTTCAAACCATTATAATAGAACATGTGTTTAAATCAAAACAGAAAAATATGCATATTTGACCCATCATCTTCTCGGAAAGCAGACCACCAGTACCTTAAATTGGCATTTCATAGTTATCCTGGTTTCTATTGTTTTAAAACACTTATGAATAATTACAACATCATGTTATTAAGCAACTCAAGTTGTCCTGAGTTCATGAGTTGGACCTATTACGTGCAAAACAGCAAGTTAACAATAGTTTCATTATCTGGAGGAACAAAACCAAGATATATTATCAGATAATGTACCTCCAGCTCCATGTACATTCCTCTGCACAGCAGCTCACGAACGTGCTGTCTCTCTGGTGTGTGTGCCTTTATTTGACAGCACTATGGTTTGAATGTTTTTGTGCCCTCCAAATTTCATACTGGAAGTCCCCAAAGCAACAGTATTAAGTGGTGGGGACGATGTTTTAGGTCATGAGGGCTCTGTCAAGAATGGATTATTATGTGAAAAGGGCTTACATGGCTGTGTTCTCTTCTGCTTTTCTGTCATGGGATCATAAAGTATTTCTCTTCCCTTGCCATTCTGACTTCTGAACTGTGAGGGTGGAACAAGAAGGTCCTGGCCAGACACCACTGCCTTGAGTTTGAGCTTCCAGCCTCTGGAACAGTAAAAGAATAAATTTCTGTTCATTTGAAATGACCTACTCTGTAGGATGCTGTTAGAATAGCATAAAATGAACTAAGAAAAGGCAAATGCTATACCCGTTCAAATACAGAGAAGAAAGTAGTAAAAACATGGGTATGACTCACTCCTTTATCCAGTGCTCTGGAAAATCTCCTAAGCTTAGAAATCAAGCAATGAATTAGTTGTGCAAATTTAAGCTCACACCACAACAGTGTCCTATGAGCCCACCTGTGTATCATTTGATACAGGATTTTAAAATTTTTCACATAACTGGTGAGAGAATAAAGGCTTTTTACAGTACTATAATTTTTTTTCTTTTTTCGGTACCGGGAATTGAACTCATGACCTTGTGCTTGCCAGGCAGGCACTGTGCCACTGAGCTAAATCCCCAGCCCCTACAGTACTATAAATTTGAGATTAAACTAGAGCTAAGCCATAAGGAGTGTTTTTCTTCCAGCCCCTTATGCAAGTTTATGACCAGTTCCTCTGTCCTGTACGTTACTGACCTATTTCTGAACAATCTAATTTCTACAATTACCCCACTACACACATAATCAAGAAACTCTAAATGCTTTTTGAAAGCACCTACATAGTCCTCCTGGTTCACTCAGTAATGGATTAGACAAAACTTTGACAGCTATTCAGTGAAAATCTATGCAATATTTATAGTTTATAACAATTTTCGAGTTGTGCATTTAAATGATCTTTGGAAAATGAGGAATCCTCTTCCAAGAAGCCGCCTAGATCATTTGCACATTGCCTTCCCCCAACATTCAAAAACTCCAAAGTTCTACTTGCTAAGATGTTTACAACGATGTTAATCAGTTTAGAAGACTCATCATCTAAGAATGAATGGTCACCACTGTGGTCTCTATTATCAAAATACCAAAAGACTCTTAGATGTCAACATGACACACAGAGTAGTGGGACATATATAATTTGAATAGGAAGTGGAGCCCGTCTGAGGCCCAGGGAGGAAGAGGCAGCAGATGAATTAAGACTCTCTTTTGTTTTTAAATAGTGTCCGACATTTATTGAAAGTAAGGAAAAGACTCCTGTACAGGTCGTGAGTGTAGAAGAGCTGGAAC